GACCATAACATATCTTAACTTCAATATATATATATATATATATATATATATATATATATATTATATGTGTGTGTGTATAAATGGCATTGGACGTTAGTTAATAAAAAAAGATTCGTCATCTTAGCTTTAAAATAGTCAATATTCTCAAGCGTAAAATATCTATTTCTATGTAAAATATAATGACATGAGGGTGTGTAAATGAATATGTATATCCTATCCGTTAGATTACGTGTACATAAGCACAAAGAATCATAAATCGAGTATTTTTAGGCTCTTTTTTTTTCGTTTTATGGTTTGTCAAAATCATATCACCCACTTTGAGATTTTCTGAGATTCGGTGGAGAAGTTTCATTATCTTTTTTTTTTCATTTATAAATTCGACCTACTCGCATTATAACATTTACAAATATACAAATTGAGTTTCCTTTTTTTTTTTTTGTGGGGGGGGGGATATCAAATCATGACATGTGACAACTTACAACCTTCTTAAAGCTTGACATAAAATATAAGACATGTCAATGTGTGAAATTCACTGCTTGTTTTTTGTTTTTTTTAATCATAACATTAAACACTTAAAATTACAATTCCAATAAATTGAAATGAATTGCGTCACAATGGGATAAGTTGTTAATTCTAAGACTAATAATTATATGTTTTTTATCTTTAACTATGAGTGAAAAAATACCAAATTTAAATACATGTTTATTATTAAAGTTAGGTGTGAATATTTGGAATTTCACTTAGTTTATTTTTTTTTTTCAATTATTTAGATTTCGTAATTGAAGATTAGTTAGTACTGTCTTTTTATTGATAAAGATAAGTTGTTGAATAAGGATAGGGATTTTTTTTTTTTGCGTATGTATATTATGTTAATTTGACCTAAAGATATTTTAGATTAATATTTACACAACGTTCTTTTAATATTAATGATATACAATTTTATGATTGTCGATATGAGAGAGTGGCTGCATGCCTTCAATTTTTTCCCCTTTTTTTCCGTATTGTTCAAAAAGTCTTAATTATGATTTTTTTTTTCAAAAAGTAAAAAGGAAAATACATAAATAGCATAATAACAATCAAAGTGTTTGACTTTATTTTCTCTTTTATGGTGGGTCAACTTACAGAAGGGGGAGATTTATAACGATTTTCATAACCATTAATGCAATTACTTTATACTTTTATATAACAGTGTGTGTGTGTGTGTGTATATACATACACACGTATTCAGAAAATGTAAATATAAGACTGCAATTCTCATACGTTTCTCTATCGAACCCTGGATTTGGATAATCTGATAAGTACATCGGGTCAGGTAATGAGATAGATACATGAATTTTATGGGTGACAAAAAATAAGAAAGAAATTTCATATGGACGGTGGCCAAAAAAATTCTGAATCACACAAATATATATATATATATATATATATATATATATATATATATTAGACTATTAATTAAGTATTCGATGTTTTACATAACTATATGCATCTATTAAAAAATTATAGGAATATAATTAAATCAAAAGAATCTGATCAAAATTAAAATTCCATAATCCCTGCGGATTTTAATTGGACTTTTTTGGTTTGCAGAATTAGAGAGTCATTTAGACAAATTAAATAATAAATTATTCTCGTCTCTTTGGACGTATGTAATGTCTGTCCACACCACAGTGTGTGTATATATATGTATATATAGATCGGGTTCGTGTTTACTTAGACAATAAATCTCTTAATGACAGAGATTTATGGTATCTTTCTAATTTTGGATTGAAGAATAAGAAAGAATCGCATTCTGAAAGATTACAAGGCTCCCTGTTTTCTTGTAATATTGTAGAGAGAGAAAGATAACGACAGAACGACAGATCATTGCATGAGAAAGAAACACATTTTTTGATTAAACTCTTTTGTCTTTGTTCCATTATTATTATTATTATTATTATTATTATTATTATTATTATTATTATTATTATTATTATTATTATTATTATTATTATTATTATTATTATTATTATTATTATTATCACTCTCTTCAGTTACAACTTTTTTATTTTATTTTTAAATTTGGTCTATTACTAATAAGGTTTGGTTGTGATAATGTTTTGCTTACACAACCCGACATTGTTGTCGGAATTTTAAAACTTGGTCAATAAATTTGTGATTTATCTGTGGATGGAATGGATACTAATTCAAGGCATCTTAAATTAATTAGAAGTTGTAACTAATGGTTTAGAACGGGACTTAAACAAAAAACTAACTTACTTTTGAGATTTAAAATATATTTTAAAAATTAAGATAGATTAAAAAAATACCATGATTAAAAAACACAAAAAAAAGGGACGAACCTTCATGCGTCTCCAACTCAGCATTCCAACTTTTTATGTAAATTCCTATTTTTTTTTAAAGATTTTATCGCTTAAACTTTTGTCACACTTTTAAAAGTTTAAATTAGTTTTTATTATTTTAAATTTATGTTTCTTTGAATCATAGGCTTTTTTAGAAACCCTGGAATAGCCGGTTACCTTCAATCTGGGCCATTCATTTTTGTGGGCCCCTATGTAAGATCTTTCAATCAATGACTAATAAACCACGGGAAACTCCATGTACACCATTCACATATGTAATACTATTATCCATAAGCTATCGTCGACGAACCAACAAACCACCAAGAAAAAATAATCATACTGTAATATAATATTCTCTTCGATCAAACAAATTTTCTAATATTTTTTTTTTATTAAATAGAATTTTCAGTATTTCAGATTAACATATATATAAATGATAGTAAGATATGAGGTAAATATATTTCGCAAGCTTTTATATATATATATATATATATATAATATACAAGAAGAAATCGCAGGGATCTAAGCAAGAAAGAATGTTTATATGCAGACTTTTTTATAAAAGGTTTCGACAATATCTGACATGCGAGCGACCAGTTGAAAAATACTTATTTTTAATATATAAAAATAATTGAATCAAATCGAATAATATATACATATATTTAAATCTTATTTGATTTAAAAAGTTATTATTTATTAATTTTCTAATGATTATTATAATAAAATAAATAAAAATCAAAAGTTATAAAAAATAAAAAATCGAATGAGAATAAAATTGAAAGCGAAAGGAAATTGAACTTAACATTCAAACAAAAATAATTATACAAAAGAAAACGCAAGTGAAAGTTACCAAATACACAGAATTTAAGTTAAAGCGGACCAAAATATACTTTAAAAATCGAACAGAAATAATCATACCAAAATATTTATTTTTTTTATAAAAAAATTAACATTCTCACTAGATATACACTCCTAATAAGAACTAGCAAGTGGTAGTAAATTTTGTTTTAATTTCCATAAAAAAAAGGAGAGAGAGAGAGAGAGAATAAAAATGATGGAAGGGAGATGAATATGGGTTTGTGGTCTCGACACCGAAACGCATGCCGATGAAGCAAAGAGGAAATAAAATTGAATTTCCAAAATGTGTGTTGTTGTTGCCCAAAGTCATTATGCTTCATTATATGCACTCTATTACCCCGTCATAGTATTACTTTCCACGTGTCCTTTTACTCCCATCATTCCCTCACCTAAAATTCTCAATCTCAATGTATACACGCATGTTTGTGTGTATGTATATGTGCGTATGGTTCCATATATGTACCAAAATGTCTTATTGTCACGATGTGTATCATACAAACACATGCACAAATGTTATATACACATATATGCATGTATTCATGTGAATGTGTGCGGGGTTACAGGGCAATGCTGTAAATATGAGGGAAAATGGAGGGGCAAAATGTCATGAGTGACGTCATCAACACATTATCTAACATCTGCTCCCGCAGAGTACTTACAGGCTCTCGACATCTATCTTCTCTTCCTCCGACCACTCACATCTCTCTACACTGTCTTTTTCTGCTCTTTTTTATTTTTATTTTCCCCAAATATTCTCTCCTATAAAATTTTATTTTATTTACTCGAAACCCTATATAACATAGAAATATGCAAAAAATAAAATAAAAAATATAACGCTAAAGAATGTTCAAGAATCAAATTATATATCTATAACATGGATGGTTTTATTGGAAATATACGGATACAACTACTAAATTACTTGTTCTTTTATCACTGACCATCAGATATTTGTTTTCATATACTGTTTCGTAATAATTCGATAATTAAATATACCTAATTGATAGTTTTACAATTTAATAAAAATATCGTGTCATATGAATGTTTGATATAAGAGAACAAATATATTGATTTTTTTAAATTATAAAACTGTGTTCATTTTTTAATGACTAGTTCCGTTAATAGTTGTTATGATATGTTTTAAGATTTCATGATTTTCTCTACATATCTAACAACTCTATAATATTTAATTTCCCCCACATGCATTACTCGTCATAACTTTTAAATCAGTACAATAATAGATATTTAATTGTTTATTGTGAAAAAAAAAACTTTAATGATACCAATAGCACCCACCAAATCAAACCGTATGAAAATTTTGAAGACCATTTATTACAAATCATAGACTTGGAGCTTTTATTAATGAACCAACACATAAAGTACGTCGTTAATCTCAGGTAAATATGAAATACATTTCTAAACCAAGGAACAATTATCTTTACATATATATATATATATATATATATATATATATATATAATTCTCCAGGAATTTTTTAGGTTTTCAATTAATTTTTGATTTCCAGTTAATTGTAATTATTTAATTATTTGGAACGTCTTTTAAACCACCGGGATACAATACATGTATCTTTTTCTCTGTTTTTTTTTTACAAAAAGAAAAACACTTTTTGGTTTTTCCATAAATCAAGTAATAAATTATTCGTCTAAATCCATCGGAAACCGACAAAAGACTTCGACAACCAGACTCAATGGCACAATCCTGTAATTTCTAGTGAAAATCGTGTCCCTTTTCGAACTCTTCATCTTCTCTGTTTAATAAGATGTCACATTTGGCCGGTTTCCAATTTTCAGAGAGGAATAAGAGAGAGAGGCAAAAAACCAAAGCACTGGAAACCGCAAAACAAAAATAAAAGCAGCAAAAAGGAAGTTCCTTTTGGTTTTAACTCAGATCATTTTCCAGTTCTTGAAGCTGTAACAATGGCTGGAATCATTGAAATCCTCAAGCTCGAAGCTTGGAGTATATTGTAGAAGAGGAAGAGACAAAAGAAACTTCTTTTCGCTTCTTCGTTCCTATTTTTTTCTGGGTTCTTTTCTCTGTCTCTTCCTTTTTTTTTTCTTGATCGAGAAATGGGATGCCGGAGTATGATCGCCGGAAACTTGGACCCCGAGCGGAAACAGAGTGGCGGACTCAGAACGAGACAGGCCGGACGAGGATCTTGTCGTGGAAGTTAGTTCTGTTCATCACTCCATTCCAAAAAAAAAGTTCCTTTAAGAGAATGTAATATTTTGTTGTTTCTTTCGTCGATTTCATGTTTCAGAGTTGTTGGATGTTCATTCTGAGGATTTATTTGGCCTTTTTTCTTTTTTCTTCTGGGCAGTTTGATTTTTCACTGTTGTTGCTGAAAATCGTTCTTGTCCGGAGAGAGAGAGAGAAGACATGGGGGTGTTGCTGAGAGAAGCATTGAGAACGGTTTGCGTGAACAACCAGTGGTCTTACGCTGTTTTTTGGAAGATCGGCTGTCAAAATGCTAGGTATGCTTCTGATTTTCTTTTGTTCTCTGTTTGGTTGCTGGGAAAATGGATGGAAAAACTGGAACGAAGATGGAAACTTGGCTGCTGAGAAAACGTAAGAGAAGAAAATAAAGGTTTCATAAAAGACACGAGTAAGCGCGGTTTATGCATTATGGGCTCAGTTTTGTTTTCATCTATCGAATTTCAACTAAGATCTGGAAATCGGATCTGGTGGGGCTTCTGAAGAACCCTTTGCAAAACGTGATAAATAGTTTCCAATTTGATACCTTTTTCGAAGAGGGCTGGGCTCAGATCTTGAGGACGACAAGAATTTCAGCTGTTTAATCTGTTTTAGATTTTACAGTTTATTTAACGTATCTGTTATCCTGTTTCCTGGAATCTTGGAATCATCTGTTTGGTTTGATCTTGTTTGTCCTAAAGAATCTCTGGATTTGTGTTTGACCATCCACGAATCATATCCTCTCTTTTGACCCTTTTTTTTCGTTGTTTAGACAAAAAAACTTTAAAGATTGTATCTTTCTGCTGTCAGCTTATTGCGGTGATGTTCTTGGGTTCTCACAAATCTGTATGTTCCTACGATCTTATAACCGAATCTTTATGGATATGTTTTTTTCTTCTTGTTTTATCCAGCTTGCTGATTTGGGAGGAATGTTACCACGAGACGACAGTGAGCTCACTTCCTCCAAGAATTTCTGGATTTAGCCCTTCCCATGTCAGCACCAGAGGGAGCGAGAAAATTCCTCTTTTGACGAATCGAATGATGTTGAACAGTCGGATTGTTCTTGTAGGTGAAGGGTATGAATCTGTTTCTACTCATCTTGCTTTTGTAGAATCTTTCAAGAATCTTGAATCTTCGATCTTGACAATGAACCAAGAACTGTATTCATCTTCTCTTTCTTCAGATTAGTCGGTCGAGCTGCCTTTGCAGGGCACCATCAGTGGATTCTAGCCAACAGATTTAACCGTGATGTTCATCCCCCTGAGGTATATACACACATATACGTACATACGATGTTGGTTTAAGGGAGTTTGATCTTTCTTTTTTTGGTGGATCGTAGGTTATAAACGAGATGCTTCTCCAATTCTCGGCTGGTATTCAGGTTGGATATTCAGCCTTTTCCTTCAGCATTTGTTCGGATTTTTAGCTCGTTGTAACGTTTTGAGGTTACTCTTTTTGTTTTCCTGCAGACTGTTGCAGTTGTTCCGGTCCTCCCACACGGGATTGTTCAACTCGGTTCTTCTTTGCCTGTAAGTTCTTGGCATCGAATTTTTGGTTCTTGATTGAATTTGCTATCCTCATCTGTAAAGCTGTTTCCTGTTCAGATAATGGAGAGCTTGGGTTTCGTAAACGACGTGAAGCGTCTTATCCTGCAACTCGGATGTGTTCCCGGAGCTCTTCTGTCTGAAACTTACAGGACAGAAGAAGGATCTGCAGATTTGATCGGAGTTCCTGTTTCCCGGATAATACCGTCGCAAGAACACAATGTCCTAACTGAGACTAGCAGACAGCATTTCAACTCGTCTGAACCAAACCTTCGAGGTTATCTTGTCGATGAACGAGAAATCAGAAGCAGGCCATCGGAAGAATGGGAAAACACATCATGTATTCTGGCAGGTGGAGTTGTATCTTCAAACCCTGACATGTGGCTCAACGGAATGTTTTCTTCTACTTTTGACACCGGGGTGGAGCAACAGATTCTGCCATACCCGCCCGGGACTCGAGAAAACGACAACATGACAAAGGAGTGCTCGGTTATTGAAGTATGCGGTGATATCATTTCCAAGAACTCGCCCGGAAGTGGAAGTGACTTGTTTGATATTTTGGGTTTGGATCACAAGAAGAAAGGGTTTGATGACGGTTGGAGTGTTTCGCAGATTGATGGACCCAACACAAAGACAGAAATGGGTTCCGGGATTTTTTCAGGATACGAGGTTTCGGGGACAGATCATCTCTTAGATGCTGTGGTCTCGGGAGCTTGCTCGTCTTCCAAACAGATTTCAGATGATACTTCTGAATCTTGTAGAACCACTTTAACCAAAGTTAGTAACTGCTCAGTTAACACTAGAGCCAAGAACAGCTTTCATGGCGACTTTTCGGAGATCCTGAAGACAGAAAAGAAACACGGGTCTGGTAATGATCATAGTTTGGGTGGTTGTTCTCAGACAACATCGATTTACGGGTCTCAGATCAGTTCTTGGGTTGAACAATCACACGGCTGGGAGCATCAGGGAAGTGTATCCAAAGGGTATTCCAGGATGAATAAAAACGAGAACCCGAAACCAGCGAACCGTAAAAGGCTTAAACCGGGAGAAAACCCGAGACCTAGACCTAAGGATCGGCAGATGATCCAAGACCGTGTCAAGGAGCTGCGAGAAATCATACCCAACGGGGCAAAAGTAAGTGATGATATTTCTCCATTCATCTTCCGAACTCACCCACTGAAAGATATCTAACAAAAACCCCGGTTCGTGATCTTTACAGTGCAGTATAGACGCGCTTCTGGAACGTACGATCAAACACATGCTGTTCTTGCAAAATGTAACGAAGCATACCGATAAGCTGAAACAACAAACCGGAGAATCCACCAAGGTGATAATGATGGACAAAACCTCATCTTTTCTCATATATGATAAGAAAAACCCGAAAGCAATATCAAATTCTTGGATTCTTGTTTTTTTTCCTCAGATGACGAAGGAAGGAGGGGCAACGTGGGCATTCGAAGTCGGGACACAGTCTTTGATCTGTCCGATCGTTGTAGAGGATCTAAACCCGCCTCGCTGTTTCCAAGTCGAGGTAACGGATAACTCTCTTCATCAGTTTACATTTCGGAAGCAACCGTTTGATATATGCATCGGATTCCTCTGCAGATGCTGTGCGAACAACGCGGATTCTTCCTGGAAATCGCTGATTGGATCAGAAGCTTAGGAGTAACCATCTTGAAGGGTGCCATGGAAACTCGTAACGACAAGATCTGGGCACGGTTCGCTGTCGAGGTAAGAAGCTGCCTTATCCGAACTTAAGAACTCGACTTTGTCGACGATCTTTCTCGCGAGTAACTCGAACTGAAATGTCAAATTTTTTACAGAATCTTGTTGAGTAGGACCCTTTTTTTGGATTGGTAGTGAGAGGATTTTCGGTTTTTCGTTTCGGTTTTCAGGCCAACCGGGATGTGACAAGAATGGAGATGTTCATGCAACTGGTGAATGTTTTCGAGCAGAGGATGAAATGCGTTGGAGGAGCTACCAACAACACATTGGATGGTATTAACGACTCGATGCCCATGAACGGTTTGTCACAAACCGCCTTAACCGGGGGATGTTCAGTGTAGGAGAAAACCAGACCGAACCGATCCGGTTTGGTTTTGTCTGGCTGTAAAATGGGTTACGAGCGAGTCGTGGGTCTGGGGTTTTGGGTGGGTGACTCGCTATGAGTAACAAAGTTCCTGTCTGATCCGTAAACACCCGTTTGAGGTTTTTGTTTGTATATGTTTTGTTCTTTTGAGGGGTTTTCTGTTATAAGGTCTTTTTTTTTATTTAAAAAAAAATACTTTTACTTATTTTGACGGTTTAATTCCATGAATTTGATGCGGTTGTTGAGTTTTGGTTGAATGTAATTTTATAATTTTACATTGGCACAAAGGGTAAAAAACGGAAAAAAAAAAAGAAAGCCAAAAAAGAGATTTTGTGAAACTTTCACACAATTTCGTAATTATAAAAATAATATTCGATTTTCTTGAATTGAATAGATATTTCCTTACTCGTACGAACCGACGCGGTTTTCGAATTAAGGAGAATTTGTTTGGTGCTAAATGTAATAACGATTTATATATATTATTGTTAAAAGGAAACAAATCCCAAATCATTTGGTATTTTGAGTAAATTTAATTTACAATAAAATCTCTTGCTCTTCTTCTACTCCATCTGGGTTTTACTCAATCTCTCCGCCAATTCCAAATCCCTAGATTTTGCTCGAATCATGCAGGACTCCTCCAGACCCGTCACTGGGTATCCGTACCCGAACCCGTACCCGAATCCGCCGCCACCATCCGCCACCGTCAACGGCTATCCTCCGCCGCTCGCCGACGCCTACCGTTACCACTACCCGCCACCGCAGACTAACCCACGCGCCGCCCTCTACCGCCGTCTCTTCATAATTTTCATGGCGGTCCTCCTCGTATTGGGTTTTGCCCTCTTCATCTTCTTCCTCGTCGCTCGACCCCGCTTGCCCGATGTCAACATCAACTCTGTCTCCGTCTCCAGATTCATCGTCTCCAACAGTACGATCTCGGGGGAGTGGGATGTCCAGTTCCAGTTCCGAAACCCTAATTCGAGGATGTCACTGTACTACGATGACGTCGACAGTGGCGTGTTCTACCGCAGATCGTTGCTGTCGGAGTCGCACCTCCCGCCGTTCGATCAGGGAACGAAGGATCAGACGGCAATCAACGCCACGCTGTCGACCGTTTCGAATTACTTGGAGGGTAGACTGTTGGATTCGATGGGCAGGGAGAGGGCGGCGCATGGGGTCGTGGCGTTCGACCTGCAGCTTACCTCCATCGTCGGATTCAGATACGGAGCAATCCGACGGAGGAGATTCGTCACGGTAGTCTGCATAGGTGTGGCGGTGAACTTAAGGGCGAACAGTACCACCGGGACGATGATCAACCCGGGGAAGGAGTGCGTCGTCTACTGAAGTGAGCGAGTTTCCGAGTTCGATTCTTTTGTTGCCTTTTAGTTCATAGGATAGGATACTCACTAGGGCTATGCAATTTCGGATTAAAGACAAGACTTGACAGTTTCTTCGATTTGGGTTTCTTACCATGTGACAATGAAGCCCTTATGTTTTGGATCTGGAAAATAAAAATCGGTGGGTAGGTTTAGGGAGAATCAGATTTTTCCGTGTAATTTCATTTCATATGAAGTGATGCCGATGCCATCATCATCATCATCATCATCATCATCATCCATGTTTTTATGTATCTACAACTGGGCATTGTGATTTGACACAATTTTTTTTGGGTTATTAATCGTAAAGATCTCTTCTTTTCCTGATATGATATGGTCCAAAGATTATATTTGATAAAACTGTTACAGTTGGTACAAGTGAATATGCAATTTGGTCAACATTTCTGCAAACTGAGTTTCATATCATTGTAAACAAAGTTCACAACAGTGTATGATGAAATCTGCCTCCAGAAGAAATTAATATGGTGCCTTTGCCTTTTTACGGGCCAAGAAACGCTCTTTGGCGGCAGTGATTGCGTCTTCGCTTCTCTTGTGATGGCTGCTCGGCTTTGGTTCGTCGTTTTTCGGCTCTATAACCGATGAATCTTTCGGCTCGGGAGCTGCAGCTGAACTCCTCTTCTCAGCAGCTTGCTTCGAGTCTTGGGGTTCAGCCCCTGAAGAAATGTTTCCTGCCGAGGAAGGTTCCGGATGAGCTATTGCAGGTTCGGGAGATGGATTCTTGTCGAGCGCATCTGTTTCCTTCTCTTCTGACACCTTTCCCTTTCTCAGTTCCTCCGGTTTTTCTGCCTTCCTTTGTTCCTCGAGTCTCTTCGCCTCTCTAGCCTCTCTAGCCTCGGCCTCTTTCGACCCGAATGCCACATTTTTTCCGAGGTTGAAGTAGAAATCACTCAAGTCTTTCTTCTTTGTAACCTGAAGAAGATAGAATATATCAAGAAAAAGGGTTGAGTGCTGTTATCACCATGGATTCGACAAGATCAAGGGCGAAATATGCGTCGAAACGAATAAAATAGAGAGCCCATCTTCAAAGTGACCTCGAGGTAAAACTCTGGTCAATGAAAGAACACATTACTAAGTACTGCAGTTAAACCTAGGAGATAATAATTTAATTGGCTAATGAGATCATGGATTTGATTAAGCCGAAACTTACATCCTCTTTTTCCTCCCGAAGTTCACGCAATCTTTCTTCTTCCATCCACTTCTGCTGCTCCTCGAGCTTCCTTCTGTAGGCGCCTGTGATAAACTTGTCTTTATCGGCATAAAGGTGCTCGTCTTTGGACCTCTCTTTTGATAGTTTCCTCTCATAGACAATCTCTTGTTCTTTCTTCCTACGATCTGCCTGTTGCATCAAATGCTGAATATATCTTGGCTGCAGAGAAGAAAAAGGAATGCGACGTTAGCACGCAAATCAATCAAATTCAATCCTAAAATGTTCAATATGCAAATCAATCATAATCTGCAGTAGAACTTAAAGTTCCTGAGAGATACACTACAAGGAAACAAAAAGATGATTCCACAGTATAAGCCCCACAGTTCAATTCTTCATATGAAATACTAGCTACCTGTGCTAAATCCGTTTTTTTTTTCAATCTTAAGGAGATATTTCAAATCGAGCGAGTTTTTTTTTCCCGGTTCTGGGCACTCAATCGAGTAGCAGTATAAGCAGGTTATGCAAATGCACACATCTTTCCTACCCAGAACTATTTTTGTTGTTTTAACACTTCTCAAAAAGGAAGATTAACACCCTATGGTGCTCCTGAATTTCATTCACCCTGACCTTAAAACCGATAAACGGGAATGCATTGCTTGATAACGGCTAAAAATGCCGCTTATAAACATGGGAATCATTGCCACGTTCGAAACAACATGATTCCAGAAATAAGATTATGCAAATACCAAGACAAAATATCTAGAGGAGTTAGATTTCTGAACATATAACTAGAAACCATGCTAACAATTTCAATGTTCCATGGATCAGTACCTTTCGTTCCTCGTGATCTTGCATCCGAGGAAGCACCTCCTTCTGTTTCATATCGTCGTAAACCTCGTCGTAAGAAAAAGCCGAAGGATCCTCCTCCAAGGCTTTCTTATGTTGCTCTTCAATCTACAAACAAAACCCGCCAAGAAAAACAGCAAAGCAGTGATCATAAAGGAGATAGAAACCAAAAAAACTGACAAGTACGACTCTAGGGATGAAAAAATCACACCTCCTTGAGAGCCTTGTTCTTCGAACCTTGTCGAATGATCTCCTTCTCCACATCATCGTCATCGTCGTCGCGGAAAATCGGAGCAGTCGGAAGCGGCGGTCGAGTCGCCGGCTGCTTCTTCTGCGACGGGGGAACCCTAAGCTGCAAACCGTACTTCTTCATCTTCGAATTCGTCTTCCCAAAAATTCCAATTCCTACAAATAAACAAAATCGGAAGTTACTGCCACAACAAATATCAGAACGAAAACGAAGAAAATTTTCACTGAAAACCCTTCGAGAACACTAGGGAAACACGAATTCAGTGATTTTTTTCACCCAAATCTTCTTATCACTTCTTCGATCAACAAAGATGAAGAACAATAAACTCAAAAACCGAATTACAGGTTGAAGTATAATCTTACCAGAGAATCGAATCAAACGATTTCGGCTCCGGAATAAGAAATCGAACTACAAGTTCAGAGCATTTGAAGAATCGAGAAAAGGGTATTGAGTTCGAGCGAAAGAGATGAAGATTAGCGAATTAACAGATCCGGGTCACGTCATATCGAGTTTTGGGGCCGAACTTTGTTTTAAAATAATAAAAAAGTGACCTTAGGCCCAATAATGCAGCCCATTAGATCATCCGTCTTGGCCCATTAACAATGAGTTCATGTATTTCTGGCATCTCAATTTATTACTTTTTTTTCTTTCTTTTTTTATAAATAAATTGTTATATCTTTATATTATTTTATTTTTGCGACCGTGTGAAAATTTTTTAAATCTTTCGACATTACATGATTTGTCAAAGATTGCTATGAAACCACACAACCATGAAGATGCATCGAATTAAATTTATTTTTTCCTAAAGCGTTGCTTACAATTGTCATTTTCCGTATTTAACTTGCTATTATTACTGTTTCGTAATTACTGAATTTATTATATAATTATTTATTCTCGTGGGGGAGGAAAATTAGGGTTTTGGAGGTGGTGGTGGGTACCGCACTTCCAGTTCCCGCCATTTTTATATACAGAGAGAGAGAGAGGGGCGAATTTATCGTTCATCGCAAAAGGCGCGAACCGTCGATTCCCTTCTTCCTCCGTTGACCACTAAATTATGTTAGTAACATAATAAATAATAATCATCCCGAAAAATATTGAAACAGTAACAGTCCACAAGCATTTTATTTCTCTTTTTCCCCCCCTTTAACGGTTGCTTTCTTTCTTTCTTTTTTTTTTAAAAAAAATATTTATTTATTTTTTCTATAAAAAAATGAGCTCTCCAATATTTATTTTTTAAATATTTTGAAATATTGTTACGATTTTTATATCTCACCGGTTTTTAATTTGAACTCGGTTTAATGTTATGATATTTCATTCTAGTCAATTTTATTATCTGAATCAAAATTAATTTGATATTAAAAATATTGTCACGAAAAATAATAAATAAAAATAAAATACCACCTAACTCTTTACCAAAAGGAATTAATTGGTCAAATAAGTTCATTTTTTTTAGGTGCACATGGAAAACATTAATTTATTTTAGGAAAATATCGGTGAAACAGAATCGAAATAATCAAGCGTACCTTGACACGTTGAAATTTCTATTGTTTTTTTAATATATATAGTAATAGTAAAAAATATCGTAAATAGGCGTGTAAAAACCACCATACATATATATATATATATATATAATATATATCAATGCAAATAATTACTATTTAGATAAGTGCCTAACAATTAAAAATGTTTTAAACTCCCCTTCTTATTTAGACAAGCACTCATGTTGTACATTTATAAACGTTTAAACCACATTTAATTCTTATTTTAGGTTTCTTTCGAAACATAAATCAATATTTGTTAGATTAAATCGGTGGTCTAATGTTCGCACACCAAAATTTCAAAACCGTAAATGCTTATTTTAGGCTTCCTTCGAAATATAAATTAATATGGGTTTAGATTAAATCTGTCAATTTAATCTTAAAAAACATTGTTGGTTAAATTGTAGTTTACAATTAGATTAATAATCGAATCAGAGTATTAGAACTTAATTCGATATTAAAAAATCAATTGTTTATAATCTGAATTCGAACTATTCGAATAAAAAATAACAGAAAAATTAACAATTTAAATTCAAATCGAAATAAGACATTTCTACCTAATCTAGTTTGGGTATGGTCTAAAACGACATTAATTTGGGATTAAAATATTTAAACAAAATCTTTTGATCTCCTAATCCTTGAGATAAGTCATTTAATCTCGGAGTTAAGTAAAAAAAACTATGCATACCAAATAATCGTCGGAACTAATAAATACTCTTATTTTATCAAAAAAAAACTAATAAATACTCTTTTGAATTTTCGGAGATTTTGTTTGTCGTTATTATTTTATCACCTTTCTCTGTGGGATTCTTTTTTTTTAATTATTTTTTGGATGATAAAAAAGGTTAATTCCCTCGCCCGTTTCTCCTCCATTTTCCCTCGTTTTCTTCTTCGCTTTCACTCTCTTTCTCTCTCCCGCTTTTTTTTTCCTTCTTCCCAAACAACACCCAGATCTACCTCAGGCTTTTCTCATAGTCGTTATTATTTTATCACCTTTCTCTGTGGGATTCTTTTTTTTTAATTATTTTTTGGATGATAAAAAAGGTTAATTCCCTCGCCCGTTTCTCCTCCATTTTCCCTCGTTTTCTTCTTCGCTTTCACTCTCTTTCTCTCTCCCGCTTTTTTTTTCCTTCTTCCCAAACAACACCCAGATCTACCTCAGGCTTTTCTCATACCATCCACTAAATCAAATCTATTCCTATCGATCCATTTCTTGAAACCCAGATCCTGAATTGTGTTACAACGTATTAAATCCGATCGGTTACTCCATTTCTAGGGTTCATGTTGGATTTTCCGGCGCCAAACGACCATTCGCTGCGGCAACAACATCGTCGGC